ATTTCAATGATACTTTTTTTCATCATTTCAATGAAGAATAATTCCACTGCAGTCAGTTGCCTTACATACAAGTAAAATTTGTCTGTATTAACAGAATCTAACTCATTCACTTCACTGACATAATCCATGTATTCACTGGTACAATTTGGTAGAATCAAGTATAATGTGAATCTTGTAGTTATTATGGACAGCACACCCAATTTAATCCATTTGCTATTGAAAACATCTTACTGGGAATTAAGGAATGTATTTTGCAACAAAACATTTATGATAGAAATGAATCATCATCAAACAAATCCGCTTTACTACATCACGAAGTGCAATATAATACCATGCAATATTACAGCAACAACAGTCCTCCTAGTACCAGTAAGGGCATAAAAATTCTTTGGTATTCGCCTTAGAGAATGATTCACCTATCAGAGGCATCTCCTTTAATCCAATTTATCTGTTGCTGTCAAAGATACGTATTTTTAAAACTTTATTTCTAGAGAGCCATTAAGTGATTAAAATCAAATGAGAGGAAAGAAGACAGTTGGTAGAACAGCATAAATCATAATCAAAACATCCTGGTAGTATAACACAGCCAGACATTTTGAATGGCTTGAGAGGCTCTGAAGAGTTCCACGGTAGTATGGCTTTTTGACATCCTGCTCAGTAGTTAAAGGGTATTCAACCTGATCTGCCTTTGTTGATAGCTGATATTATTTGACATTTTAACAAGGTTCTGTATTTGCAGAAGCATCTTATGGCACCACTTTCAACATCAGAGTCTATCACAAAAAACATTTTAACTGTTTTGCAAACAAACTTTCTTCCAGTTAATTATTAAACAGAGGAACAGCTTGCGGTATACGCTTGGAACTAATTTTACTATATATAGTTGGAAATGACAAGAGCACATGAAGATGTGACTGAAGCCTGGTAGCATTTAAATACTCAGTACTTCCTCTGTTACCTTGACTAGTGTAAAGTTGGTTCCCAAGGTAAAAACTAAGTGGTCTGCTGGCATATGGTGTAACCTCCATTTGAGCGCTAAAAGCTGGATACTGTTTTTGTGAAACAGATGTTGTTGAGTGCAGCAATGCACAACTGACTCTATCTAACAGCTGGGAATCCTTCGTGACCCATATAGCTAGAAATAAACATGGTCCTATGCTTGGCAAAAGTGTAAGGAAGCAAATTTTCATTTGTTAAGGGCTTATCAAAATGAAGAATAAATGTTTTTAGCCATAAACTGATTTTATTCACAAGAGTAATCTTTCCAGCAGCTTATGCGATGGCCTCATAATATTACAGTCACCCTTTGCCAGATGAAGGCTGCAGTTGCACTGACATATAGTGCAGATGGAAAATAAACATCTGCCTCAATCAAGAGAGAAGACCAAAGACAAGGTTGACGAATATTATCTGGCATGACTATCTTTGCAGGAAAGCGTATAAATGCTACAGGACCAAAACCACTGGCATCGTCTGGTGTTGTCCTTATGTGGTTACTGACCATGAAGAGCGATGATTAGTATGCACTCTCCAAGGAGGAGTAGTGCAGATGCTCAGGATGATATGATTCCAACTCACTAGTATATGTTTTGCTATAGCCATACTATGCTAACAATAGAGCAGTTTGAAATATTTTTTCTCAGTGTTTCAATGCATTTTGCATCCTCAAATACACTTCTTTTTTGGGGGTGGGGGAGAAGAGAGGGTTTAGCAGCAATTATGTTGTTAAACATAATTTAAAAATGGATGTAGCAGCAATTTTCATCACTTTTTTCTTAAACCACTTAAGGAAAAAATATTTCTGTCCTGATTTAAACACAGTCAGTTTTTTTGAGAAGGAGGTAAATGTGAAGACCACTCAGTTGAAAGCAAACTATTCAATCGATGCACATTTTACCTTTGGGAAATAGTGTAGTGTGCTGTTCAAGTAACTCTGCATACATGCATGTATGCACATACCTACTCTCAGCTGGTATGGAGTTCTGATTCACCCACAAAGGATTATGTGATGCAGGATGGATGCAGCTTCAGAGGTTCTGTTTTTGTAGGAGGATTTCGTTGTCAGATTAAAATAGGAATCTTATCAGTTGCTGGTCATTTTGGTGGTGCCTGATTTTGTATTTCATTTTTGAAGATGCAAGTTCAAACTGCCCCTCTTTGCTCTGGAAGAGAGTTAGTTAGGCAGGACATATTAACTACTGCTCAGTCTTAATTAGTGTGTTTTACCTGGTGAGAATTACGTGCATGATGTGTATTAGCTAAATTAATGGGAAATCTATTACAATTAGACAACAAGTTTAGTATAAGGATGCAGGTATAAATTTGACAGTTGGGGATCTCAGATCTAACCAAATCCTGGAGAACTACACGCAATGTGCTCAGCAGAGAAAAAAAGAACCAGGAGTGTAACTCATAATATTGCAGGCACCCTTTTCCAAATGAAGGCTGAAGTTATATTGACAAACCTTTTAGCTGCATAGAAGTCCAAAACTCACAGCTCATGGTAGTCTGTTGATCACAATTTTTGGGTGCATACACACAAATCACATTAATATGCCTTTCCTATTTGTACCTGAAATTGCACTAGGATTCAGGCTTGGCTTTCCTAGGTGCCTCAGCAGCCAGGTGAGGTTGTTGACACTGCCAGTATTAAATATTCACAGAAGAAGCAGAGGGAACTGGAATGGGCATCAAATGACATCTGAGGCTGAGGCAACAGCATCATCTCCTTTGACCTAGATGAATATTTCTGTTAGAAGGACTTTGGTCAAGAATGTCCTGTACTACCTGCTCTACTTTCACCTGACTAATAAGTGGGTGCTCCTCAAAGGAACTCTTGGTTTTAGTATTGTCAGAGCTACAGGTTCTGGACAGACTTTTAGACTCAGTTTTGCTGTCTCTCAGTAGCAGTAAGGGCCTCATCATTTTCTTTAAGCTCCAGATCTTGGAGGCACAGAAAAATCTTAGTTTTTGTTAACAAATAATTATTTACTTTGTAGAAATTAACTAGAAAGTGAGCTCTCAAAGTCCAGAAATCAGAAGAAGTCAGCACATACAATCTCAGAGTGTTTATGACAATCTCCTGGTTGTCACATCTGCTTTTTTATTCTTTTCTATCGATCATACAAATAAAGCTTCTCCCCTTTTATGAATGCTCTGGGAACTCAGAATTTGACTTGCAAAGTTTAATGGGTGCACAAAGTTGTACACAAAATGATATTTCCCTGCCATGTGGCATATGAGATATATCAAACAGAGAATGCCAAAGAGGCAACTATAGCACTCTCTGCCCCCTCCTCCCCAGTGTATATCTGCCAGCGGGCATGTTGCAATCCCTAAAGCATTTACAATTTTCCACTTTTTTTTTACCAGTATCTCTCAAAAGCCAACCACCGTGATAAGAAAAATGTGTAGGATAGGATAAAACTGGCAAAGCCTTAGTTTGAGTTTGGCATATTAAAGAGGATCTGGACCTTTTTCCCAGTTTTGAAAAATGAGGGTTATTTCAACTGGTTGCCTCCTACCTCTCGTCTGCTATTCAAACAACAGTATGTTTCCTTTAGGCAGTTTTCTTCCCTTATGTGCTGTTTTTATTTCATAGTCTAGCCCTCAGACTTGTCTTTCCAACTGTAGCCCCAGCAGACATAGTCTCTAATGCTCTAGTCTTAAAAAATTAATTTGAAGTAATAGACTAAAACAAGCTTGTTAAGGATGGTGGTAGCTGAGCCAGTCACTGAAAGCTCTAGTTTTCAAAAACATATTCATTTTCTATATGTGCATACGATGCAGAGGCAATAGGAAAGTGACATTCTCTGAACAAGAATGGAGGTTAACAGGACATGGCAGACTTCAAAATGGACAATATCATAACAGTACCCTGAATATCATCCAAAAGGTCTGCTCCACAAACTGTTGGTTTAGATTACAACCATTTGCAACAATAAAAGTGAATTCTCAGTATATGTATACGAGACAAAGGACAACTTGGATCAGCAAGTAAAGGAAATTAAAAGATGGGGGTGATGCTGTTCTCCCAGTGGCATCATCAGTGAGGTCAGAGCAACTCCAATGACTTCTCTAGACATGAATAAGGAATGACCTTCTGCACTGCCATCCAAAATAGCCCCAAATTTGTTCAAGCACTGAGTCATAGAATGATCTTTAAACTACTTCTGTCATGTTGCCATTTGGCACTTTGTTGCTACCCTTAAAGAAGTCACCACAATACTTGCTTCTTAGTTTTTTCCAAACTTCTAGTATCTACTTTGGATTTCATTTTCAGTCCCAGACTATTTTTCTTTCTGGTAAATAAATTGAGATTCAACAGACTGAAATGGCACAGCCGATCTCCTATATCCATCAGTAAAAAGTACCACCTGGCAAGTGCTGTCAAAATGTGAACTTTTGTATTACCCAGACAAAACTTTAATCAATTTGAATGTTTGAGTATGGGCTACAGTATTCAATTTCATAAGTTTGCCCTATCCTGATCTTTTCTGATCATTACGTTCTTTCAAAATTTTAAAAGTTTTCTTCTGGTTTAGCCTCCTAGATCCCATAGGCTGTTTGATACTAAATAGCAGCATTGAAAAAACATGGAGAGGTGCTGATAGTGTGAGATGACAAATTTTTGCCATCCCTAACATGTTAGTCATTTGTTTGGCCTACTATTTTTACATAGGATATCAGTCTGTCAGTGATAGTGGGTTTCTCACATGATATGTCATCAGTCAAAAGTCTATACAGTTCATGCCCTCATTAGCAATATATGTATTTTCTATTGAAGACCAAGTATTCAAAATTATCCATAGATGTTCCATAGCATTAACAACCTTTTTCTTTATTGGGATAAAAGTGAATTATGAATATATTTAAAACCATTCTGCATATTTACAGTTCTTACACCTTTTTTAGATTTTTAGCATTTTCAAGTAATCTGAAGGCTGGTTTCTTTTTTCTCGATGCTAATGTAAATTATTTCTTAATTTTAGACTAAATGGACATCTGGACCCCTATATACTCAGTGGAAAGATTCAAGCTTCCAAAAGACAATATATTACACCTTCCTAAAGACCAATTTTAAGAGAAGAAGAAGTGCTGTGTTCAGGCTCTGATGGCTTACCCTGGAAAATTAATGTTTAGACAGCTTGAGTTAACACAGAGAGATAAATATCTGACTCGACACAGCGTAGCACAAGACAACACGTGGAAGACACTCTCCTGGTTCCTCATACCCTCCTACATTGGTGACATGGCAAGTATTGAGTTCTTATTTGTCTTAACCTTTAAACATGGAAAGGGTGAAGGATGTTATCTTTGTTAGGTGCTTCATATATGCATAAATATATACCTATCCAATATATGTTAAATGTGAAAAAAACCCACCAATGCGTAGTTGACTTTGTGGTTTTCCTAAAACTACATATTTTACTTGAAACCACTTAATCCTGTCATAAGCCAAAGCTACATCAGGAAAAACACTGAATTATTGCAATCACAAATGGAGTGTTCCCAACTCAGTCTGTGTCTTATTATACTAAGTGCAGCAGTCCCAAAGAAGCAGAGGAAAGTGGACACAGTCTATGGCCTTAAGGAGGCATATCAAGGCCATTTTCACAAAATTACTCATTTCTGAACACAAAATTAAGAGGCTGTGGCCTTCATCGGGAAAAAGGCACAGACAATGCACTATAACGCTGATACTGGCTAAGCTTTTTCATACAGCTTGTTCAAGTACCAAGTAAAACACTGGCTATGCTCATGGCTTTTCCTGAGATATGGGAAGTATTGCTGCCTCCTTTTTACAGATGAAAAGGCAGGGTGAGGATGTGACAAGCTTCTTGAAATAACACCATGAGTTAGTGACAAAGCCAGGTTTAGGAGGCCCATTCTTCAGTGCCTAAGTCGCGAAAGCCATGGCTTTCCTAGTTCCTACAAAGCCATGGTTTGTTAATTAAGTAAGTTGGTTTTTGCCAAATAATTTTATGGAGGCTAAAATACCTCTTAAGTTACTGCTATCATAAGATATATAAGAAAACCTAAACACAGGGGAGACCGTTCTACAGGCTATTTTGGATTCAGTGAAATAAAGACATTAATAAAAGTATTTCAGGGCTATATCAGAAATTCCTTTCAGAGAAAGAAAAGGAAAAAGCCCAGTAGTAACACATGGAAATATAATCTTTTATTTTTAGAAGAATGGTAATATTTCTCTGCAAGTAACACTTGATTAAGCAAACTTATTGAATAAGGTCCATTTTGTCTGCTTGAAAAAGCTATAAGTTGAGACATTTTAAGATAATCAGATTGTAAAAGTACACTAAATTCTTACCATTAAGCTACCTCACCTTCATTGAGCTCTGAATTCTCATTACAACTAATCATATTTCCTTGCAAAGTAAAAATAATTCAGGTACTTGAAAGTGGGTTATATTCTGCTCTCAATGCCTACTTACATCTCCTACTACCAGTAATGGCAGTTAGTGGGAAATATCTAGCTAGCTAGCTAGCTGTATATATCTCCTAAGGTGACAGGTGACAGGCGTAGCTGTTACTTTGGTGAGCAGAAAAAAACAGGAAAGAGGTCTATATATTCCAAATACCAGTTTATTTTCACACTGGAGATTTTAGACAGCTTTTATTTACCTGCAATTGGCAGCACAGCTTCACTGAGGGTGGGATTCATCTCATTTAACCTAAGCCACCAAAAGTTAGATGCCTAAATCTAAACTAGCTATACAGAAATGCTCCTTTCTTTTCACTGTCCAGGAAGCCGAGACAGTGATGTCAGGAGCGGTTGAGTATGTGTCTCTCTCTCTTCAATGTACCTTAAAATTTGAAATAAATATTAGGTGAGCCATCTGCTAGCCTAGATATCCGTTAAAGAAAATACAACAGTTTTTACATGGGTGCATCTTCCATGGATGCAATGAAAGCAAGAACAAGAGCAGTCTCAGATTTCCAAGTTAAAAATAAGAGTTTAGTTGATTCTGTTTTTTTTTTTCTTTTTTTTTTCATTTCTGAAGATTAAAAGAGGAGAGAAATGTATATTACTTGCCAAAGTCAAGAGATGGGATGCGTAGCAGTTATGCATGTGTTTGCAGTTGTGGAATCTCTTTCCCAAGGTCTTCATTCACCAGGAGCTGGTCAAACAATTATTTGAAAATAGGATTTATTTTTAAAATCTTTTTTGTGAAGCTCATTTTTGTGAACCAATGTTATTTCAGTCACCTTAGCTGATATCTAAAGAAATTTATTTTTTTTATCTGTCTCATGTGAAACTTTTCCTACAGGAGGGATTACTTGAGGCTGACGCCCAAATTTGCTGAACTTCAAAGACATTCTCTCAGTTTAAAAATTAATTCATATTTTTACTTCAATTAAGATAGTTTCGATATTCTTCTGCTGGTTTCCTGACTAAAGTCTGAAGACTGGTCCTTACAGGCTGCTTTCAGGGGTGGAAGTCAAGTAGTAAAGAAGACCAACTCCCTCTGTGGTGTCTTTTATAGTCCATCCTACTGCAGATAGAGCTGTATTGTATAGCCTTACAGTTTCCATGGTGGAGCTGACACATTTATGTTTTTGGAGAAAAAGAAACATTTTTACCACTGAAATGGAGCCTCCGTATCCTGCAGCATGGCTGAAAAGAAAGCCAAACTGGTTAAAAACAAAACAACACAATGAAACAAAACAGCATGCAGCTGCCTCCTCAGAAATATCCCTGCAAGGCAGACAAATGGATGCATTTATTTTCCCAGATTTATTTGCTAATGTAAAGATCCCAATGCAAGCATTAACACTTCAAATCATTATATAGTCCTGGGGCAATCTTGGGAGGAGTTGAATTTCATTAAACAAATTAGTAATTTGAGATTGCAGTAACTGTAGATATAATCTTGTTCCCATATATCTCATGATGCAGTGCAAAAGAAACCACTCCTCAAATGAATGCTCCATAGCTAAGCATCACCATGTTACATTAGTAAACTGATCAAAATACACAAAAAATATCTTGGCTTCTTTTTAAGTTTGCACTTCCATTGACCGAATAAAGCAGGTAGCACTTTCATATTTTCAAATTTAGTAGATGGAATTATATATAATAGATGCTATTTAACAGGAGAAAGCACTATATTTATTAATTTAAAAGGAGGAAACTGGACATTTTCCCCTACTATCATATTAGAGCTCTAGTTTGTATGTCTAGCTGGCACTAAGTGTTCATACTCTTAGCATGAGGAGCTGCATCTCTGATGGAGCTGGAAGGAAGGGCTGCATTGCTCAGCCGAGCACTGGCCAGAACATCACTGAGGGCACAGCACCCTTCCACCTCCCCATATCCACACTAGGCTGCCTGTTGCACCCCTTCAGTCCTTACTGTGTGGTATTGGCTCTTGCCAATATCTGTATCTGACTTTGCTGCCTGAGTTCAGCAAGGTGCCATCACTGTAAGGTGTTGTGTGTTACAGGCTGGTGACTAGGACAACTGCACAAAGCCACTTCACACTGCAGGCAGAAGGGACATGGCTTCTCTATAAGGGGGAAGGTGGGATCAGGCTTTCTCTCCACAAGCACTGAATGGAGCTCACTGAGTCTCCATGCCACAGCCTGGGCTTGTGTCCATATGCTCTGGGCTTAAACACAGACTCATTATGACATAGCTATAGCCCATGAAATCCAAGTCCCTCCAAAAAACCTATTAGAGAGGCTCAGAAATCTGCACATAAAGCCACAGCAGAATTTTTCTTGTACCCTTTTACTGTACCATCCCTAAGAGATGGGATGCTGATGGGCAGGATGACTTTGTCACAGATGTGTGAGTGGGAAGGGCAGTTCAGACCTCCAGTGAAATGTGGACATCCCATGTTTGCCCATCCTGGCAGGGCAGAGCACTTCAGCCAATGTCTTTAATTAAGTTCTGGTGCTTTAGTTTGGACAGCCTGCATGGGTAAATAAATTCCACCCTGGAATATCTTCATCTCTCCATTGTATGCTTAGACAGAATATAGGTCAGACATTGCCTAAGTTATACCAGTATTTTCATGTTGCACCACGGCTTGTGACACTGCAGCCTCTGTGATGTTGCATGGTACAACCTAAACCTCTGCCTTCTGTCCTCTGTGAAAGGTTTCCAAGCCACCTTCAGAGAGAGATGGCACCATGCCTTTCACCTAGAATATGAAATAGTAATTGGGCTGTCATTCACACTTTCATAACCATAATACACAAAGAAAATCAGCAACAGAAAAGCTGTGTCCATGTACTGAGACACAGTCTGAATGCAAATAGAATGTACTACTGAATTCACTAAGCCCGAAGAAGTAAAACAGGGTTTCTTTGCTTGGAGAAATCTTAGTATCTCAAAAAGTCTCCTTTAAAACTAACCTCAACTTTGTTTTGCAAGACCTGGTCTACACAGCATTTTAGCTCCCATCAGAAAAATTCATATCCTATGAATATTCATATTCATATCCTATGAATAGTGCAGTCAGGCACTAATAACGAACAAGAATTTTGAGGGGTTTGGTATACTGAAGAAAGCATTGTGAGCAGGGCATATATCTAGCCCCATCTTTTCACTAAGCCATATTACAGTGAGGATTAAAGCATGCAGATAGGCAGTCAAGATACACAGTTTTCTCTGGCATGGAAACAAACAATTTAATTATAAAATATATAGTTCAGGAAAAATATTGCTTCTTTTATGGTTTCTTTTGTTTAATTGGGCAGTTCATTTTGTGTATGAAATCATACAGGGATTTAATAATTTTTGCCAATATGGATAAAGCCTTTGACTTACACTGGGAGTGTCAGACCTCAGTCAGTCCTTGTTCAAGTGCATTTTGACAAATCTACCACACATTTTTTGTTCTTTATTTCAATACCTTGCAGAATGTCTTACGTCACTTAGACTAATAAGGCGTAAACAACGTTTAAACAGAAGGGCAAAAAGAAGAGCCAGTGACTGAAGACTGGGCTCCAGCAGAAGGGTGAGGGAGCACAGAAGTTTAGCCAGCTGTTTGTGTGAAATCCAGGAAGAAGACAGAATGCCACTTGACAATTTTTAATTCTTCTGGAAGAAACAGTTGGAGATCATATGCTCCCTAGCAGTTAGAATACCAAAATAAGTACTTTTGCCAGCAGCAGTAGCAAAACACTTTTTTGTCCCGTCTGTACTTTGCACCATGTTTCCTAAAATCACATACTGATATCACAGCCGTGTTCAGCTTGTGAGATATGAACAGCACATTGAGTTAAAATTTGATGGTTCTGCTGTCTCATGGGACACAGTCTCCTCACAACACTTAAAAAGAAAGAAAATAAGAAAGCTTTTCTCATTTATACATCTGATACACTTCAGAGAAAACACTTCTTCAGAACTGCTTTTATGAGTCCTGAGAGTTAGTCATGTCTGGCAAGGATGGGGAAGCCAAATGTGGTGGTTTTGTCAGTAAAAGGGAAATAGTCCAGCTTGGGCTTTTGGAAGTTCCCAAGCATTCCCTCAGTGAGTGACTGAGCTGGAGAACCACAGACATCCTCAGTGCATGATACCAGAGCTTCCTTTGTTATATGCTAGTCACATAAAACAGATCACACTGCAGTGTTGCCCTTGATAACCTCTCACCTGTGACTAGGACAGAAAACCTAACAAGGGAGAAGTCTTTTCCAGCTTGTTTTTAGACAGTGAGGTGGCAAGCAAGCTGAGGATGGAGATAGAAACACTGCCTTGATTCTCTGGAGCCACATGGAAAATCCAGATACATTTTCACCATTGGCTCCTGGGTCCACGTTGTTACAGTAAATGGTGGCTTGGTGTGTGAATGCTTCCTGAAATACATCTGCTTTTTTCAGACCTCATTCTGTTTCAGTGGGGACAGTAATTGCAGCCTACCTAAAGGAAGAACAAGTAAAATCATATACTCTCTGACTATGGGAACCCAAAAATAAAGACTTTTTTGGCAAGATTAACCAAAGAGCTCTTTGACATATCTTTTTGTTCATTCAGAGTCTGACTTCATCCTCTGACTCATGCTCTGATTGCTTCTGGTAATTACTGAAACCCATTTAGCACACTAAGTATTAAGTAAGGCAGAGACTCAGTGTAAGCATACAAAGTGCTGCTTAGGTGGGCAAGCTGATCCAGTCTAGGAGACCATGTGGGAGTATGGCAAGTCTTCCAGCATAAAGAGGACTGTAGTCATCCTCCAGCAGAAAATCAGCAGAGTGGAGGGGGAGTTCTGGAAGGTCTGCTAAGCTGTCAGTTAATGAGCATCATTTCCCACCACCCCCAGTGAAGGCTGGCAATGAAAAATATTTTCTTTCTAAAGATTCCTGCCATCAGGTAAGGTTTTCTTTAAGCTTCCAACCTTTTGCTTCTCCTCGACATTCTTCTTGATGCTATTTCAGGGTTAAGAACAAAGAACAACTTCTAACTTAAAACATCTGTGGAAAACAGACACAGCCTGCAGACACTGCATGCTACAGATGGCAAATTTGTACCACAAAACTTAAATAAAAGTCATGGGAAGCCATTTGTTTTAGTGCTTTGCTCTACATTATGTGTTGTCCTGCTTCACTGTCCAACAGATTGCTAAATGGTGCTACTAGTATTAACAAGAGCCCTTCAACAAATATGGTCTATTTGTTATTACAGCATTTAACTGCAAAGATGGGTCAAAAGCAAGCACTTCTTGTTTTGTACTCCATACTTTTTTTTTAACATTGCCAAACTAAAGAATTAAAGAACCAGATCTCCTTTAGTGCAATAACTCCCCCATGTCTCACATCTCTCCCACCCCTGTCTCCACCTTTTCTTCATTTTCATGCTATAATTGTAGGCCACCTAGCTCAAACAGTCGCATTGTTTTCTTGAATAAGTCTCTATTAAGGTTTTTTCCAGAAGCTTTTGACAGAATGAAAAAAAAGCAATATGAGGAATGTCACTGTAACAATGTAAATTGTATGCTTGCATTTTTTATTAATAAGGCAAGGCTCTCCAAGGGACTAAGTTACATTGTTTTATGAGATTAAATTATTAGACCTGGAACTGATAAGGGCCTTGTCCTATTGTTGAAGAGGCTGCTGGGGAGCATGGAACTGCAGGGAACATTGGCGAATCATGGTGAGATCTTATTTCTCCATAGAGAACTAATATTCCAGCTGCTCCAAATGCACCTGAATGGGTACTAGAGAGATGAGGAAGCTAACTTGTGGCAGATGGGACCAGACCAAATGGTCAGTGAAATGAACACATTCAACTAATGCACTAACCATTCCTAAACTGTTCTCCATCAATTATTTAAGGCCTTGTGTCATAGTTTGTTAAAAACGATCTTTGATTAGTTATGTTATTAATACAAGATGCATATTACAATAGTGTCACATTTTCTATCCATCAAAGTCAGAATAAGTCAATATGAGTGCATCAATAATTTATTTTGGGTATACTAGTCAATTTTCTGCGTGCAATAACACTGACTGCTAGCAATTACCAAATGCAACTGGTGCTTTTACCTCTATAGTCACATGTTAAACAAGATCATATTTATTTTTCAAAATACATATAATATTGGATTATTTGAGTTTTGCTGTGATTTTTCAAAGCCAAACTCTTTTGGGTTGTTTTCTTTTTTAACATAAGGCTCCAAACAAAATGAAGCAGATAGATAGTGCCTGTGATACTTCAGAAGTAAAAGCGATGTATACATGACTTACTGCATGTTGCTCCCATAACATCTAGCAATAAGCAACCCCCTCAGTTGTTTTTTCTGGTACAAGTGTAAGTAGAAAGCATTATCCTTAATTTAAATGTATTTGGAGTATGACAGAACAGAATCTGAACTGGTGATTTTAGTTATGCATTTAGTTTCACATAAAATAGGACCCCACTTATTTGCATGACGTCCTTAAGGGAAAAAAACATTGATTACAACTTGTGTAAGGCAACCAAATATTCAGATTTTTTAAATTCACCTTTAGTTTTTATTTTATTTTATTTTTAGGATCTGTTTAGGCTTTAGTAAGGAAGTATGTTCCAGAACCCTATGGAAATCTACCTCTAAGGAATTAGGTCCCTCATCTGGAAAGGCCAAGTCACTCTATAGCCTGTATTGCTAAGTGCACAGGAAAGCTAGCTATTCTGCTCCACCTCAAGCTGAATGTACCGGTGCCTGTGTCAATGCTAAGAGAATCTAAGACATATTTTTTTAAAATAACAATTCTTTACCTGAGATTCAACAAGTGGTGAAAACTCATTTCTAAAAGCAAGTTGTGTAACATTGGTAACTTCAAGCATTTTGTCTTCAGGACATATATGATTCCATATCTTATATAATAATCATGCATGTCAGTAAAATAAAAATCTGTCAGAACCACATTTTTTCCTCTGCTTTTCTTTTCACCGAAAAAGACAAGGGACAGATTTTAGAGGTAAAAAGACACAACAGAACATGCAATAGGCTGCTACAAATCATCAGATTTTCCTGGTGGCATTAGTCACGGAGGATCGAGAATTACCTCTTGCTAGTCAATAAAAGATTCTTCAGAAGCAAGCCCTCTGGGCATACACAACAAATACCAATAATACTCATATTAACTGATCTGCTAGTTTTATTTTTTAAAATTGTAATAGATATTCAGATGCTGTTTTTCTTTTAGCTAAGAAAACCAGATACAGATGAATTAAAAATGAATGAATCAATGCTATTCTCTTAAATGAGATGAGATAAATTTACTGAAGAACTCTGGATGGTTGCATACTGAAACTAGTTTCTGGTCATTTCTTTCTCAATATACCTCTGTAGCAAGTAGCTCAGGAGAATTTCTGCTGTTGTAGAGGCCCACTCCTTACCTATTTTGATATCATAGGCACAACAGAAGAAATAATCCATTGAATGAAAACAAATGTTTAAATGCTACAGAAATGCTTTGGCAGTTTCAGCTTAGACTCCAATGATAAGGGATCTACATGTCACTGCAGTAGCTGAGCTGCCTCAGGATCCATGCCAATTACAGCTGCCTTCTGCTACTGGAGCTGTAGACGTGCTTGAAGTGGGGTTAAGGTGCTTGGCCCCCATTGCTTCCCACCTGCTCCCTGAGCAGTTTGTTTTCATAAAATCAGCCCTATGCTTGGTGCTCTTGTTGTGATCTTTTCACTCTGAATGGTCTTCATACTCACAGCCACAAAACATGACAGAGTTCAAGATACCAGCTGACACTTGCATGCCATGGAGCTTCAAGAACTCAACTTAAAGAGCTTGTTCTGCTCTCTCTTTTACTGCTGGGATATGCAGCTTCCCAGAAGTCATCTCCTTTGTCTTTCTTGTGTCAGGTGTGACCTGAATTTCATACAAGCCTTCTTAACCTGGTTTACATGCTACAATTCCCCAACTTAGGAGGATTAAATCAGTAGTGTATACTATCACCGTCATGTTCATCAAGAGCAGCATGTATTTTCCTATAAAGGTAGACATGCAACACAGCACCAGTCTGAGAGCTAGAGCCCCTTAGTCCCACGCTGATTGCTATGGCTGCTTCATTTTGCTTATGCCAGAACAATCCTGTAAACCAGTTGGAGGCCCTGTGGCATGAGCACCAAGAAAGAAAAACAAACTGTTACTGTCTGTATCACACTAGTAGGTTCACCACTCCAAACTTCCATTTTTTCCAGATGTACGTACTGCTTAAAAATATTTAAGAAGTAGTTTGTGTAGACTATGAAAAGTGTAAGGAAACAAGAGATCACCTCTAGATTAAATACGGAATCCTTTAGGATTTTTTAAAACTCTTTATTATAGCAAAGTTATCCGCTAGGAAGAAAACTGAAAACTGAATCAAGTAGAGGTTTCCAGATCTAACTTCTATAATAGAGAAATAGAGATCAACAGCCTGTTCTAGACATCATCATGAAAAGCCACTTAATTTACAGAGACTTATTGTTATGGTTTAAACCCAGTCAGGTAGCTTGTTCACTCACTCCCAGTGAGTGGTGCCGAGCTGACAACAATCGAGGTCCGTGTCCGTCTCCCCCCCCCGCCTCCCCGCACCGGGGCTCTCCCCTTCCCCGCTCCCGGAGGAACGGGGAGGAGGATCGAGAGAGTGCAACTCCTACGGGTTGAGACAAAAACAGTCCAGCAACAAATCACCACTGCTACTATCAGCTAAATCAATGATAAGGGAAAATAACAAGGGAAGAGAATACGATACCACCAGCCAAGAAAACGAGTTCCACCCGGAAGCCCCTGTCCTTCCGGGTAACTCCCAGTTACCCCTCACCCCGGGCATGACGTGCTGTGGTATGGAATACCTCCCCGGCTAGCCCGGGTCAGGTGCCCCGTCTCTGCTTCCTCACAGCCTCCCCTCCTCCCTGGCAGAGCATGAGCCTCACAAAGTCCTTGGCCAAACCAAAATATCCTTGTTATCAGCTCTGTTCCCGAGCTGAAAGTCAAAACACTGCACTGCACCAGTTAACACAAAGGAAAAACATGACTGCTACTGCGGAACCCAGGACACTTATCCGCTCAGGTGCAAATTATGGCTAAAAAGGAGAGTGTTCCTCATATTCTGGTAGCCTCTATTTATCACTGGGCAGCCATAAATCAATCTTTCCAAAGCACAGTGTGAGTATCTTGAATCCGGTGCAATAGTTACCTCCGTCACAAGTTCAGGATATTTGCACCTGCTCTGAAGCTCACTCTGAAAATTGCAGCATAGGAAATCAGACCGATGAAGAAGGTAAATGATTTAGAGTAGAAGTCTGCACCTCTCCAATGCCTTATAGAAGCAGATGGCTTTGTTGTTTGAAGTAGGTGGCAGTTATACTAATAAACTCAAAATTAACCTAATTAATTTATGATTACAGAACCAAGAGTTCTCATTGCAAAGGGAAATTAGGTCTTCAGTGGGAAACAGCCATTTCTGCTCTTCCTGTTTGCTTATCTGAGGAGCATACAATGCTAGTTCTGTATCTGAGTCAGCTATCAAACCCTGTCATTTCATCAGGACTGTACATATAAGTGGACTGTGCAAAGTTGAACAATCACAGAGGTAACTATAATGGAAATGCATTTTAAAAATAACTCATCTCCTTACAAATAATATAAACTATGGTAGGGAGTATCTGAATATTTAAAAATATTTGGTTAACTGATCTCAATTTATAAGCATTCTCTTCCTCCCACAAAGATGTTTCCACTAAACATCTGCCGGTATGAACCGCACTATAAAGAAGAGCTATCAGCAGAAGGTAATTTTAATAAGCACTGTTCTTTGTTCCTTGTATTTTAATGACTGTTGAAGGTTAAGGGAATATTTGTTTTCCTTCCCCTCAGGGCTACTTTGAAACAGTTTGACTTGCAAACTGCATTTCAAACTCTTGAAGCTATAATGCTTAAGCAGTCTGATGTTGTACAGGAGAAAAAAAAAGCAAACCCAAACCCAAAAACCAGAAGTGGTTAAACATCAAAAGCACCACCCAAACTCTCTTTGCCAAGCGATTGCAGCAAAGGACTATATGGAAGTTGGGGGTCCCAAACTCTGTTGCAACATTATCCCCAACTGACCCAGTTTTATAAACCCCACCTTCTAGAATCCCAGTGCTGATTATATATGGTCCAGAAAACTCATGATACTTGGTAGCTCAGTTTTTTGAGGGAATTTCAATTTAAGGCCTAGATAGAGACTATCTGTATGTCAATATTCATATTCACTTCTATTACCTATTACATTGGTAATTAAAGTATGTTATTTCAGCTCACAACTTAAACTAGACATTATCTTCCACTAATTCAGATGATCTGACATTAGAAAAAGTGAAAATGTTTTCCAAACTTCACCATAAACAAGTCAGAGATTATGTTTCGCTGTCCTTCATACCAGCCATATTCACGATAGAATCAACCGCTAGTATAAGCTTCATCCAGGTTAAGTGTGGATTCACAATTGTCTGTGAAATTAGTCAGAATACAGATTTTATTTTGTCTATATATTTTTATGAAGCTCTATGTCAGAAGGGGAGGCTAGGTGATGCCTGAGTTAGAAAGCAATTACAGCTGCATGCATAGACAGTGCTTGAACTAAAACCTGTTGTACAAAGGCAACTCCTCAGAAACATTTTTAGAGAGTTTGAACTGGTTGAATGTGTTCATACTAGTACAGCATTTCTAAAGTTGTAGAGGACCCAGAATTTGGGTTCAGTCAAGAACTAAATCCTTAGGCACTCTAAAATTTGTGAAGCACTGTCAATCCACACAGGATCTGCCACTGGATCCAGCATCATACCTAACTTTTGGGTACTTGACCTGCAGAGTCAGAAGTTTTGTCTTTTCTGCCTGGAATCTTCTCCATTACAATATGGAGAGCTTCACACTTTTCTAAATGTTTTGGAAGTAGAGAAGTCCAGAGAGAGCTATCACTTGGCCCTACCAAGTGTTCATACTGAAGCATATTCAGAAACCTCAGATTATACTCCCTGTAGCTGTGCAGGTTAATAACAGTACCTAAGTCCAAACCCTCAGGAAACATTAGATGAATCTTGCATGCCCAACAGAGTTACTGTGAACAGGGGAGAACAGGCAGTTTGTTTCTGGAGTGGGTGGTGCAGTCCAAGTCTACTGGTAGTAGATGGACAGTTTGCTGGTAAGATCATCAGAGAGAGAAAACATCCCTGTAAAGTGACAGGTGATTTTGAGAATAAGAGCCACTACAAAACAACTTGAATTAGCTGGCCAAGTTGTGCATAAAATAAATACTTTCCTAAGGCTTTTCAATTAGCATAGAACAAAGAACACAGTTGGGCAGACGTATAGAAGCGCAACACTCAGCACTAGGAACAAATCAACCTATTATAGCCATTATAAGGGAGGTGAAAGGGTCCCACATCCAGTGGAGAAAAGGGAAGGATTTGGGAACATGAGTTGGTCGAGTTCATTGTTGAAGACTGGAGATGTTGAGGTGGTACTGCTGAGTTATAAATAGACTAGACAGGACAGCAGGTGATGCCACAAAGCATGTTGCACACTGTTTCCTTCACATACTAAAAATTTTGAGTCATTTGATTTAATAATTGACTCCCTCACATCCATCTGATACAAGAATGACACACAAAAGCAGATACTGACAATAATTTTTGTAAGGCAGAAATTCTGTCCCAGGATTTTGGTGGTTCGTGTTACTAGAATATTGCATAAGATAGGCAAGCATCTCCAGCTTTTACATGCAACAATCTGATGCACATCTCTAAGGTAGATTTTAACTTGATATCAAGGAACAAATAGATATAGAGATGACTCATTTACTTTCCTACTGAGGCCGTATTCAGTGTATCAATGCCAAGTGTAAATTACTTTTGTTTCTATTTGATATAAAAATGTTGTCTAT